CTCTCCCCGATGTTCAACGCCCCGGCATTCCCTCAACAGATACTTACATATGGGGGCTTTCCAAAATTAGGGTTACCATTTTGGGGTCCCAATAATAAGGACCATAGTATTTTTGGGTCTATATTGGGGTCCCCCTATTTAGGGAAACCACCATATGTCCCCAACGCAAGAGGTCTCATAGAGGGAATGGTTGCTACTAGGGTTAGGGTGGGGCTGTCGCACAGTGTTGCCCTTGTAGGTAGAAGCGATTCAGCGAAGGAGCTTTCTCCTTCTTAGCTGGTTCACTTGGGACACCTGCGGTTTAGGGTTTAGGGTTTAGGGTTGGGAGCTCTAAGTATAATACATCTATGGAATTTTGGGTCATGCAGGGTCATTAGTATCAACAGTAGTATGTTAGCAGACTGTAGAGATGTTCGCGCGAGCTACATTGCTATCTTTCACAACATGGCTTACATGAGGGCTTCCAAACAGCCAGCGGTCCCTTGCTTGGGAGAGTCTAGAATAGGGATTCTGTTTTTGGTGTATACAAGGGGGTCCATCAAAAAGGGTGGATACGGAGAGACAACCGCGCATCCTTTCATTGGAAAACTTTGGGCCTCAAACCCGCTGATATTCCCTGCATTGTTTTCATTCTAAGTTTCCCCCAAAAGTGATAGCTGCCAACCAGACACCATCAATGACAAGTTGATGGATAGACGTGGCATGTGGCAAAATGCACCAGGCCTTCAGAGAATGTAGCCCTTGGCCCTGCACTCTGCACCCAAACCCTAAACCCTAAACCCACTCTAAACCCTAAGCCTTAAACCCTAAACCCAGTCTAAACCCTAAATCCTAAACCCACTCTAAACCCTAAACCCTAAATCCTACACCCACTCTAAACCCTAAACCCACTCTAAACCTTAAACCCTTAACCCACTCTAAACCCTTATACCTTGCCTCATGGCGGCTCCTAAGGCAAGAGGCCCAGGCTTCGAATCTGGCTTGTCAACGCTAAAGTTGTCATTTGTAATCTTTATATAGCCCCATATAACCCCAATATACTATAGTAGTTTACATGTTATTTTCCATTATCCCTATATCACCCCTAAGCCCTAAACTCCTTGGTAGGTGTTGGCGTGGTAGCCCTGTACTAAATTTGTAGTATATCCCTTAATAGGTCCCCCCCAAAACCTTATATAGTCTCCTTTAGGTCCCCCTCAACCTAAATTTAGTCCGTAGCTCACATGGAGAAAGTTTTGGCGCATCTGCCGGCAGAGATTCTGAGCCTGCCGTACTTGCTCGTGCTACGAAAGCCCGAGCCATGGCTGCAGTTGTATGGATATAGGGTTTAGGGTTTAGGGTTTAAGGGTTAAGGGTTAAGGGTTTAGGGTTTTGTTAGGGTTTAGGGTTTTATAAGGTTTTAGGTCTGGGGCTCAGGAAAATGTAGTTTCAATGTCATCCACTGGACAGTCGTTGCAGGGTAGGGCTTGGGAAAAATATCATCCATACGATTTTTACAAGGACCCCATCATCATACAGTAGGGTGCATACCCCCCAAAACTCTGCTCAGGAAGTCCTTCACAAATCCAAAATCTGCCTGGTGCTCAGCCCTTAAACATGACTAATCCTTGTCCCACCCCCTAAACCCCAAACCTATGGAGTCCAGGGGTGCCTCATGGGGCAGCCTTTGTATCTTAATGTCTGAGTGCGGAGCGTTTAACCTACTGGGCGTCTCATGGTCTATAAAAGCCATAGCCTAAACTCCTTAAAGGGGGTTGTATAGAGGACTATATAGGGGACTACTATAGGGGATATTAAGGGGGATACTAGGAGTTTAGACTTCATTGCAACCCAATCGTCTAGCCTTATGTGGGCCAGGCACTCGCCTTGCAGTTAGGGTTTGAAGAGGCTTGTGTCATGTCTTTTTGTTGCGCTGCACCACTGGCAATGCGGAAGATCTAAAGCCAAGCATACCAGAACCGCTTCTCCAGCGGGTAATGGAGTACGGGAAAAAGCTGCTCACCCCATGGCAAGCCTAAAACAACATCTCCTAGATTCCTAGATAGTTGCTGAACTTGCTAAGTGAACAAAGGGCACCTCAGTGATCCCAAATCGTGAAACCATCAGATCCTAGACCCTAAGTGCACAAGCTGTGTACTGTCTATCCCTTGAGCTGAAAACCCAAAACCCTAAACCCTAAACCCAAAACCCTAAACCCTAAACCTTAAAGCCTTGGTTCATGGTCTAGGGCTTGTCTCTGCACTCCAGATGCCAGCCCTTACATTTTTTCTGATGCATCTGAGGATGGTGGTCGCTTGGCTGGTACGTGGGGATAAGTTTGGGGTTAAGGGTTTTTGGGGTTAGGCTACAGGGCTAGAGGGAGGGTAGAGGGTTTTAGGATACCCCTAAACCCAAAACCCTTGACCCTGAAACGATGCTAGGGTTTACTGAGTAGGGGTTCAAAGGCGAGGGCCTGCCTGAGCCACTCACTCAGGAGTTGCTTTGTTGGGGTACTAAACTCTCCTTCCACGGCAGGGCCCACAATGAGCAGCAATCTCCGAGACCCTGGAACCTTGCGCCAAACCTAGGATGTAGGCTTCAGAAAACCTTAGGATTTTGGGTCTGCAGGGCTTAAGGAACCTCAACTTGAAGCATCTGGCCTTGAAATCTGTATCTCAGGCGCAAAATCGAACCCTGAGGCGCCTGCTCGTAAACCCTCAGCCCCGGCGAACTTCAGGTTTCCTATTCCTGCTGGGCACCTGCCACAAGACTGCCGGTTCGTGTCATGAGGCGTCGGATCCTGGCATTTGTCTCAAAAGTTAGTATTGTCTGTATTCTTGCTGTTTTCGGATATTTTATCAGGTTTGTTATTTGCTCAGCTATTCCTGGTGATAGAATTATGATAGCTATTGATATTCTTGGCCCAGGCTAATGGTACGCTTAAAAGTTGGAGGCACAGGGTGAGCGGGCAGAGAAGAGGATCTAGGGCGTAGTTTGACCCTAAGCCCTCAACCCTAAACCTTCATGACAACGTCATTGCGTTTCGAGTCCAGCTTCTGTGCTTTTAAGAGAGTTTACTAAAAATGTGTTGAGCCGCATGCTGGAGCTCAGCCTTCAATCAGCTGCGCGTAACAAGCTCTCGACTTAACAAAAAGCCAGGCTCTTGTTTGTGGGTTTAGGGTTTTGGGATTTAGGATCCCGACGCCCTACAGCTTTAATCTTTACCTTCAACCAGAAGCTCATAGCCCCGGCTGCAATCTCTGATCTCACCGAGACAAGCAAACAGAACGTGACAATTGCAACCCCAATATAACCCTACAATTACCCCAATATTACCCGAATATTATCCCAATATTATCCCAATATAACTCTATATTGGGTCATTCCCCCACCCAGTAACTGTCCTTAAAGGGGCCTTTTTACGGGGGTTTTATAACTCCTATAACCCATTGTGGTAACAGATACTGTAAGGGGGAATGACCCCAACTATACATATATTCCATTGCTGAGGAAACCGTAGATCTCCCTGTCTAAGTAGTCTTCTGTACTTGACCTAATGTTCAGGGGGCTCAAAAGGTGGGATGAAGGTAGGTGGGTTAAAGGATCCCTAGTACATACTCCGTTATATTCGCACTTATTCCTTTACCCCACCTTCCATCACCCCACCTTTTGAGCCCTCTGAAATGTAGACCCGTGATTTGTAAACCCACTCCCTCCTTTTAAGGGCCTTAGTGTTAGGATCCCTATTTAAATCCCTATTAAGGGGAGGGGGTTTATTAATCAGGGGTCTGGGTTAGGCCAGAAATCGTAAACTGTATTATCCAGCCGTTCACTATCTAGGCAGTGAGGCGCCTAAAGTAGTGAAGAATACTAACCTATCAGGAAGCATACCTCTTTGTAATCCCCTCCCCCCAACAAGAGGACTCGCACCCACCGATTAAAGCAACGAGAATATACCACCATACGAAGATTTCATAATACGGGCGAGTGGTGTTTTTACTATTTGGGACGTAAACCTCAAAATGATACTGGAAATCGTTTGGGTCCCGATATTGCACGTGGGGGTTTCCAGAAATTCAGGGTCATTCTTGGGAAGCACTTTAAGAAGTATTTGGATCCTGATATGTACGAACCCGCCCCACCTGGGTCTCTGGCTTTAAGGTAGACTGCGCCTCAACCCTGAACTCTAACCCCTA